TTTATAAAGAATATCTCTTTGGATTTGAGACTTTAGTCTTTGCAACTTTACAGATCTTCTTTATGCACCAAGAGCTTGTAACACTCCAAAGAGAAAGGAAAAATTGAAATCGCATCATATGACCCCTTTTTTAATGTCAAAAGTTTCTATTTACAACGTGTATTTGCAGCGTTGAGCAATACAGCCAATCACAGACAGATCTGTTGATTCTTGAACAGCTCTGATTTTGCTCCGCACGCTCGCGAATCCTCTCAATAAGAGGTTCATTGATTATGAAGGAACTTTGTGAGATCACAATGAACTGAAGTAAGTGACACCTTTTTAGTGATTATAAAGGAAGTACTATTTGCGCACTTTCTAGGCTAAATATAATCCGTTCAGAATTTGAATAAAATGTTTTTCAGAAGTGACATAATTTCCTCATCCCTCACATAAATGCGGGATTCATTTTCGAGTGGGAGACTAATATAATTTGTCAAAATAGATGTTCATTAACCACTTAAGCTCGGCGCGTTTTTTGGTATTTTCGCCTCACTAACTGTATAGTATTGTAAACGCTTAAAGTTTGGGTTAAAGTTACTATGCAACAAACTCATTTATCCTCCTTTGGGATAGTATAGTTTTTCTCTTCCTCTGTGGTGTCTGTGATCCTACCATAAGGTACTGGAATATCCCAGCGGTAGCTTGAAGTGATATTAAATAGATCCTTTAGCATGGGAAGTGGATATGAATTACTTGGAAACTCCATATTCCATCATACCAACGTCTGGAAAGCCGGTCGTTGGCGTTGTGGCATATTGCATAAATCCCCACTAATTTCTCTGATAAAACATTACCCCATGTGCTTGGTTAAACAGACCTCTGTCATCCCATAAATGAAAGCCATGGATATCAAAAGCTGAACTGCAGGGTCCAAATCCAAATGTGTTACCAAACGGCCACATCCAGGTCAACAGAATGGTGTCTGAGAGTGCTTTCGCAGCAGATGTTCCTGTTAGGTTTGTCCAAGGTGATGTTCGCAAGAGGAGATACCCCCTGACAATGTAAAGCGCTTTGAGTGCCTAGAAAAGCGCTATATAAATGTAATGAATTATGGCAATTATGTTCCGAGTGATTACTGAAATAGTTGTGGACATTGTTTTCATAGAAAATAACTTGCTTCCACGGTGGAAAAATAAGGTAATAAGGTATTATTGCAGATGCTTTAGCCATGTCTGATTTGTTTTTGAGCAGAAAAACACAAAAGATATTTTGAAAAAATTCTTAAGTGTTCCTTTTTTCATACAGAAGTTTAGTCTTCAATGCTGTTTGGACCAAAATGCTCAAAACACCTTCCCTCGTGTTCTGCAGGAGAAACAAACATACAGGTTGACAGCATATTTTTAGTTCCTCTTTGACTGCAGATGGTGAATCTGTTGAAGGCACAACCAGGGTTGAAATTATCGGGATCATTCATAGTTATCAAATAATATTTTTTTTTTTAAATTCAGAAGGACTGGTGAAACCTCTATGATGTCAAAGTCTGCTCCTGACAAATGACACAGACATTCTTTGAGCATGTTTTTTCCTCAGCTTTATTTCAACAGGTGTGGACAGGCTTTAGTTAAGCATGGAATGGTGACAATGACAGTCCTCTCTCTCAATGTGAGTAAGTTATGCTCGTCTAAAGACATGTACACTGACCCCTGCTGGCAGACAGTAGGCAAGTAGAGACAAGTATTAGTCTAAGAAAACATCCTCAGCCATATTCATGCACAAGGACATTCCATCAAGTAACGATTAGTCGGAGACTTCATTTGAAACCTGTTTGCCTGAAATTATTTACTATATTACAAGCTTTTTACAACTTAAAAATAGATTTATCACTACCATATGTACTTGTAAATACAGTTTCTTCTTCTTTTTTTTTTTTACAAATCCCGTACCGACACGTTAATCAGTAAATGTAAGGCAGAAGAACAAAGAGGGGCAAAAAAAAGTTCACAACTGTCCATCTAATCTACACTCCATTTATGAAAAAGTTAGCTTTTCTGCAGATCTGAAATGCAGACTATTCTCTAGAGAATAAACATGAACATACAAACAGGAAGATCTAACAATATGACACCGAACAAGCTGGGATGTCAGCCTTGAATGCGTTCCGAATCTGCATGTATGGCTAGGCTGACTGCAAACATCAGTTAGATGAACATGACTGGTAATGAAATGACTAGTTGCCACATTTCTGCAGCAATATTATAAAATATAAGACAACCGTTCCAGAACCCTTGGTCATGGTCCTATCATCCGAACAGCTGATGCATTGTTAAAAAACAGAAGAAAATGAAGCAATACAGAAAGCAATTTCACGACTTTACATGCAAATTTACCCAATGTTTATATTGGAGGTCTGTCCCAAAAAGCAGCATGCATTGAACTTGATTTTTGCAGTGATAAAAATCCTAGATCAACTTCATAAATGGCTGAAACGCTCCGTCAAAGGCCGTCTTTGACACAACGCTGCCCACCAAAACCAGTCCGTAGACAGCATGTGGACAAGACCTGCTTTCAAACATAATGCAAGCAGCATAGCTGTGCCGTCCTGTAGCGGGAAAATGACAGAAAAGCCAGGATTCACAATGCAGGTGAGGTTACGGCACAAAGTGCGAGGAGTACTGCATGACGACAACTCCGAACCTGAAAAAAATCCCAGGGTCCATCTTTAGAACAAACGATAAAAGGCAATCAACCTACCGGTTCCCAAAGGAGGATCTGTTAGGACTGAAGGAGCCATGCTGATTTATTAATGGCAGAGCATCTGTTGGCACTTTCGGACTTTTCGTTCACAACCTTACCGGAGGGTAATGAAGTCCCAACAAACCCCCTGAGAGAACTTAAAGGTAATGGCTGTTCCCTGAAACGGCACGACCAGGACAAAAGACAAAAACATCTAAAGCAGTAACAGTTTGTACAGTTCAGCTCACACTCAAGACACGCTCTGCTCCGAGTGACACGCGTTATTCACAGTGCATAACATGGGGTAGCGACTGAGAGGAAAAATGAACAACAAAACATTGAACATGTTGCCTGACGTAGTAGTTAAGACATTTTCCAGGGACATGCTTTTTCCCATCTCAAGTGCTACGCTTTACCTATACATACAGGCTCCCAGAGCACATCCAACCAAATGTGCAATGCTACCTAGGTACTTAAAACGTCAAAAGGAAAAAAAAAAAAAAAAAGTTGGCTGTTATTGATGGTGGAATGCAATACTTTCCCTCATTTCCCTCTTTTCTGAGTGACGATGACCGTCCGCACCGGACAAAAGTGATACAATGGAATGGAGCTTGCTTCCGATGGGGGAATGGCTGTTAATAAGGTGCAGGCTTTGTGTCTTTAGATGTGCATGTGAGATTGTCTGTTTATGAGCATATGGGTCTTTATGAGGCACCCTCGTCGCCGATGCAGCCCGAGCGACTGGTCAGTGTTTACCTCCCAACAGGTGGCAAAGGAGGAGCTCCTCTCATTACTGCCAAACAAACAGAGACACATATGAGTCCAAGATCAAAAATCACAGTATTCTTCCCTGATGATTTCGTACCAGTACCAAATTGAAGCCATCAGGCAAAAGCATTCAGCAAAGTTGTGCGATAAACCTACTGAAGATGAAAAGCATGCAGCAGCTCTGTCTTTACACAAGCACATGAAAGCATACGAGATCAAAGGAGGCTTTGTGCTCACTGTGAGAAGCATTACATCTGTATTTGTTGAAGCTTGTGTGGAACCAAACTGCTAAGTCTAACTGTTCATTTCCTGGGACTTACCTCTGTTAGCTTTGCTTGGGTATATCTTAGTGAAGTGTCTATACTCTTCTGGAGGAGGGAAGTCATCCAGAGGGTGAAAAGAATACTTGGACTCAAAATCATCTGTTGGAAGAGACAAATAAAAATAAATATTTGAATTGCACTTTTTTAAGCAAAAATAATAATGCAAAGTAACCATGCAAAGTTTGGTGTCAGTATGATTTTTTTTTAATACTTTTATTCCACAAAACAGTTTTCAACATTGATAATAAATGTTTCTTGAGCAGCAACACAGCATATTAGAATGATTACTGAAGGACCACGTGACACTGAAGGCTTACATTTAAATAATAATTCACAATATTACTGTTTTTACTGTATTTTTGATCAAATACCTGCAGCATTGGAGAGACTAATGACCCCAAACATTTGAAAGGTAATGTTGGTCTTCTCAAAATTTGCTTCTCTATTTTTGTGAGAAAAAGAGTGCAACTTGTCTTGTATTTAACAAAACTACTATATTTGTGTGGTTTTAATTGTGCAGCAGCCTTGTTCACAGCAGTTTCTCCAATTAAAAACATTTATCGTTAATAATACGGTCGTATTATTTGTGATCAAATGTTTTGTCTTTCCTCATTTTTATGTAACTCTGGACAATCTCCATTAATGAACGAATGTAAATGACATACATTTTTGTTCTATAAGTGATGTTCATGTGACGCTAAAGCACTTTTCTTAGTCACTCAGGTAAAGAGTGTCTGCTAAATGCATATAAATGCATAAAATGCCCATTTTTGGCAACAACACAGACACATAGATTAAAGTTTCAAAGGTGCTTGACAAACCACTAGATTACATTACGGATGATCTTAGAGTGAGCACATGCCTGATAATGCCACTGGATGATTATTTGATGCAATTATCTTGTCAGCATCGTCATACTAACTCGTCAGCATCGTCATTGTAACTTTTTTTAATATGAAAATCAATCTGAATATTTTTAGCTTTATAACAGGTTTAACACTAAATGTCGATGTATTTTGCACAACACCAGTGCCCGAGAATAAAGACGGGCCATTGTGAGAGTTTCAGGCCACATGACAGAACCATCTCTTGCCCTACAGGACAAGCGCAGTGCTAGTTTCAATTTGGAGAAAACATCATCCTCTCTATATGAACGAAGGATGTTGAAATGAGGATGTGAGGGCAGGTGCAGCTTGAGAGTGAGCATGAATGACTCACCTACAAAGGAACGGGAAATGGAAGTGTGTCCATTGCGGAGGGGCGGGGGAGGGGGCGGGGGTCCGGCTGGT